CCCCCCCCCAAAAAAAAAAAGAATTATATTATAAATAAATTTATAAATATACATTTAATTTTGTGCTGATCTATTTTAATGACACAAAATTGTAGGAAAAACATTTCATTACATCTTTAGCTTGTAAATCAACAGTGAAAAAGTTTTTACACTGAAATTTTATAATGCAGAATCAATTGAAAGGTTGTTAAAGACTAAATATCATTGATTGTGGTATAAATATGATAAGATGACAATTATAGTGTAGTTTCTAGCTGCTATCATCTTCCCAAGGAGTAGCCAGGTTTGCTCTATCGTAACAATAGACATCAGGGACATCTTTTGGGTAGGGCAGGGGAGCATATCCCCCCCACCCCTAATTTGCTGGTTTTATTTAAATTGATATGTAGCCTACTGTGGAACCTCCAGTAATAAACAACTTAACAAACCAAACAAGTTTTGCCCCCCCCCCCGAGGCGTAGCGAGGGGAGGGCAGGGGGGACAGATGTCCCCGGGCGCCAGCTAGTTAGGGGCGCAAAAATGTGCTTTGATATTATTTTATTGATAAAAATAATGGGTTTGAGAGTTGAAAAAAATAAAAAGGGGCGCTTTAAAATGGATCTTGTCCCCGGGCGCCAAACACCCTCGCTACGCCACTGAGAAGCACACGATTCAATGAACGTCACGAAAACTGCATCGTTCTCAACAATGAGCGTCAAGAATAGTTAAACCCTGCGAGCGTATTCTAAAATTTAATTATGAACATTTTTGATACCAAATCTTTGCGATAAATTACACAAATGATAATCAAGACATTCGGCAGTGATTTGCTTGTTTGTTTGTTTGTTTGTTTGTTTACTCCTCGATAAAGCAACAAGTAATGGCTTGTTAGTTATTTGATGGTGTTCCAACAGTTGCAATAATTTGCCTTTTAGTGTAGGCCTAATTACCTTGAATTGGAAGAGTTGCTCTGAAATAATATAACTTTTTCGTTGTTTTGATAAAAAAAAAAAAAACATTATTCATATTCAAATATCGAAGGACACCGAACTCATAATATCCACTACTTTAGGACCGGGGGCTCCATTTCATCTTTCCTTGTAATGTATGCTAAATAAATACCAAGAGGGTCAGACAATACGAAAGGTTCTTTGTGACTTGATGGATCTAGGCCTAATTCCGTAGCAATATCCTCCATAGCACGTATTGAAAGATCGACGGATTTAAAATAATTAATATTCAATTTATCCAGGGCCGGTCTAGAATTTTCCGAAAGCTCGATCAATTGAAACCCGATTTTAATGGGACGACTATAAAATTGTAACCTCATTATTTACCAGAGGGATTTTTTATAGGGCCCCCTATCTAATGCACAGCTAAAATGTTACCTTATGGAATGCCCCCCCCCCCAACCCGGGCCCCTCTTCTAACATAATTGATGAATTTTTATTGTTATTTCTTAGATTTTTAGAATTGTTTGTATTTGAAAAATAATAACGTATAATAGAATTTTAATTTTTCACAATTTTCTAGGAGTTTATAAATGTAATCTAGAATGTTCCAAAAAAGTTCTATAATTTTATCCGGGGTTATATAATATAGTGGGATCTAAAGCTGTTAATTTCTATACTTTCCTGGTATTTTATCAATATCACTGATTTATCTTTTTATACGTTTCTTTAAGTTTCCAGATTATTCTAGAAGCTTCGATTTTTTTCTATAATTTTTTTTAAAAATTATATCAATGCCCCTTTCATGTTGATTATGTTTCATTAATTTTCAATGAGTCTCCTTGAATGTTATGGAATAAGACTTGAAGATAACTTTTCGAGTTTCTAAAATGTTCCAAATTAATTGTCCATTATTATAGCCGAGGCTCCATAGGCCTACATGAAGTTGAAGGCGTAGATTACGGTATACATAACTACGTGTATTGATGGATCTTGGTCAATATCATAATCCCATCAGGAAACAAGATTCCACTGAGGAACAGAATCCTAACGGGGAACGGGATCCTAATAAATACAACGCTATCCCTCCTGGAAACAGTTATACAACAGGGAATAGATCCCAACATGCATGAGATCTCATGGGGATTGGGATCCTACTGAGGAACGGAATCAAACAGAGAACTGGATCCGATCAGTAACGGGATCAAACCTGGAATTGGATCACATCGGAGAACAGGATCATATCGGGAAAAGGGGTCCCACCGAGAACAGGATCCCAATGAACGCGGTATTCCAAAGGGAAACGGGATCCCAGTGGGATCGGGATCCCACCGGGAGTTGTATCACATCGGCTAAAGTTGTAAAAGTAAAAGGTATTCCAATGGGAAAATTAGCATATTGCACGAACTTAATTTCTTTGGGGCTATTCTGTAATTAGGTCAACAAATTGGGGTGGGTGTGACCATTATTTGACGGGGATTTTTTTTAAATATATATAAAATATATATATATATATATATATATATATATATATATATATATATATATATATATATATATAAATCATTAATAAAGCCTGCATAGTTAGTTAGTTTTTGAAAATTTCAGTGACCATAAAATTCTTATGATTTCAAATAATCAGAACAGCAACAATGACGTCATGTTATTGGGTTAGAAGAAAAGAAAATTGGAATGGCTGGCAAAATACTGTTCGAGGTAAAAGCAATTATTGTACAGATTCAAAATGCTGATATTTTAAGCGCTGAATTGGATTCCTAGATACAAGGTGGTGTAAACTAGTTCCGTAATAATATCAATGTGGCAATGATAAATAATTATGCATAAATTGCTTTGCGATATTGCAAAATAGCAACATTTGTCATATCAACGTGAATATAAAAATAAAAAATAAAATAAAAAATAGCAATAAATTTACTATCAATAATATTTAGACCGTAATGCATTCTTTTAATAAAGTATGCAAAATAAAATTGACTATAGTCAGAGAGTCTAAAAATTTCCCAGCCAATCCGCCTGATTCGGAACCTTCATGTCCTATTTTGCATTTGGCCAGGGCCGCTCAAGGCGGGTACGATGCGTGATCATCCCACGGGCACCGAGGCGGCAAAATTTGTTAAAAAAAAATAAAAAAATTCTGAACTCTTCCCATAATTTTCCAGAGGGTGACAATTGCCTTTTTTTTGACCCAACCTAAAAATGTTTAGAGCCGGCCTTGCATTTGGCTCTGACTGATACAACAGTGACGAAACGCAGTTTAGCACAAGTTCAGAAAGCGGCTGCCCTTGAGACAATGGAAGGGTTTGTGGAAACCACAGTTAAAGTTCTCATGAACGGGTCCACCAATACGAGAGAAAAAAATGTGGGGTATGTTGCGTTCATCCTCTACCCAACTGGAGGGCCACCAAATATGGAACTTTCAGGGCCCTTTGGGACTCATCATCGAATTTCGATGCGGAGCTGGAGGCTATACATGCACAGGGCCCTGGAAAGTGTGTACCACACTCTGCAGAGGTGAAAGTTTGTGGGACTCGACGTAGTCATCTACTCTGACTCGAGATCTGCTCTTGAGATCTTGCGTTAGGAAGCGGTTACCACTCACTTAGTTGGCACCATTGTAAATGACATGGGCAAGATCGGCGAGTTAGGAGGAACGGTTAAAGTGCAGTGGATTCCAGGGCACATCAAAGTCATTGGAAATGAAAAAGCAGACACCCTGGCAAAAACCGGGGCTGCCCAGCCTCGACCAGATTACCAATCACTTATCTAGGTAAAAGAAAAGAAAAAAAAAAGGTTGCCAGGCTATTTTAGAACGAAATGGTACAGGCAGCGGGCAGATAGCACGAAGGTCAGGGATGTATTCGCTAACATGCCGCTTCCTAGCAGACAAAACCCTTGGTGGAAGCTGGGTCACCGACAGCAGAGTCTGGTGCCAAATTGCGCACCGAACATTACCCAATAAACATGACATAAACTTCAATCGGCTAGATCAGTGGTTCTCAACCTTCCTATTGCCGCGACCCCTCAATACAGTTCCTCATGTTGTGGCGACCCCCGCCC